GCCACTGCCAATAACCTACAAACATTGATCTTAACTATTCAAAACTCCATCAATTAAAGAGAAACAGCTATTGCATAGTTAAGCGTTCTTTTAAATAGAGATTTACAAGCGCACGTTTGTCTGTGACCCTCATTGTCCTTCCTATATGTTACATCTCGAGACTCAAATTTAGGCTTATATCACCAACCAATAAACAAACAAACAATTAACACGTGTGCCCTGGCTCTCTGCTTCTAATAGGAGTAGCTAGTCGGGATCTCCGTAAAAAAAGTCAAAAATATTAATCTTAATGAAGAAATGAAATCATTCATAGTCATTGCATCTTTTTTCTTGGTCAGTTATTCATAAATGCTTTTTATGATTTTCTGGGCATTCTGAAGAAAAAGGTGCTGAAAAGTTCAGTAAGCTACGAGCTTACAGTTAACAATTTGATATATGCTCTGAGTGTGATGGCATCATTCCTCTCTCAGAATAAATATAAATTTCTTTAGTACTATTTTTTTTTTCTGTGTTGTGTGTGTGTTTGTTTTTCTCTGTGTCGCTTTTTGTTCCCTCTCCGTATGAAAACTCTCTTTACCGAGATAAGAAGTTAAAATAGGTTCAGGATTTTTTTAACCCTACTGAAAAAAAAGAAAGGTTAATGAACGCTATTTTAGCTTCACACGCGACATCATAAATTACAGAATATAAATTTTCTCGCCGAGAACATTTCGTGCAACATACCAACAAGGAGGTATTGCTTTTTTAATGGGTAGCATCTGTTTGGTTTCCAGTCAAAAGCACAGTCGGGATGGCAACTAAAAAATTACTTATTTGAACTAAGGAAAGACCCTGAGCATGCGCAAGAGAAAAATCTATCATAATCTGAGAAGGTGCCCTCCTACTTCCCCTTTCATTATTCCTATCTCACCCCTGCCTCCTAATGAGTGAACTGTTGCGATTAACTCCTCACCATCCCCGTTACTGTTTCAATTCTAACCATTAGAATGATTTTAAAGGAATGAGTACTTCAAATCTACTAAGAGATGATATCAGTTTCCTAACTTATAACCAAATGATAACTCTCCTCTTCTTCATTTAAACGTATTTGCAATGTATTGTTAGGCTTATTGTGATATCACGGCAAGTCTTAAGGGATGGATTCTTATAGCTCGATTCTCTAACAGTGACAGTAAGAACTGGATGCGTAACGATGGCAACTGGTGGTATGACCAACAAGCTGCTATTGGAACAACTAACAACCCTTCAGAGAACAACGATGTGATCTCACCAGCCTTTTGGTCGCTTAGCGGCAGAGAAATAAAGATCACACGCAGTGACGACCCGAGCCACACCCTTCTGTTGCAGACCACGGGCAGCTGTTTGGGTGGACAAACATTCCGATCGAAAATCACAAGTTATGGCGACTTTAGAAATGGCAAAGTCGGGGCCAGTGATCGATGTCTAGGAAATTGTACGGTTCAATATGGCGGACAGCACAAGTCAACAGACGGGTTTCAACAGGCTGAGTACAGTGGAAACGTCGAAAGTGCTGACAAGATCGGCTTCTGTTGTGACTGGGGTAGTGGTGATGGATCGGTGATGATGATTGGTGGAGGAGGAAAAAGCTGTAAGCGTGCTGATCATGGGATTGGAATTACAGAAACTAACGCTGCTTCTTTTCTTGACAACGGATCCAGTGAGACTGAATATGACTTTGGTTATAATGCTAACACAGGAAACGCTCCATCCCAGTCCTACTCATTGAACTTATGGATCCGTTGATAATAATCAGCTCTTCATTTTTCAAACCTAGTTAAGAACTGAATAGCTTAAGAGAAGATGAAATTATTCATTTCATGTCGGATTCTGAAATGGTCAATAATAGCGCGTCTTTCCCCACTCGCAGCAAAGATAAAATAGCTTTACCATTACCTCGGTCGCAACGCTTTAATCTTTAAACATCCTATGATCTTTACAAGCAACAAATCACCATTAGAATTGATTTAAGTCAGACTTACAGCTTATCGATCTTTTTGTAAGGTATTCATTGATGATTGTTTAGTGATGTCAGATATAACAGTTACAAGATATGTGCAATCAGTTAATCGGTTATTTCATCAAAACATTTCTGAGGCTCTATCGAGCACTACATGTTTTGTTAGATTGGCATAAAAAATTAACAGCTAGAGGAATAAAAAGCTTTGAAAGATAGAAGCTCGAGGTTTCTTGATATAATATATTTACTGAACAGTTTCAAAACTTTATATATAGTCTACTTAATTATGTTCGAGTTTTCTACGAACGTGGCAACCGAGGAAAAAGGAAAATAGAGGCCATTGATTAATTAAGCCTTCAATGGTTCAGCACACCAGGCCACACCTTGCCAAGCACCGTAACAGTAGTAAGTGACGGCAGGGGGTGACGCAAGCAATTTATCCAATTGTTGTAGCAGTAATGATTTGGTGAAGCAAGTTTTACCGCATCCCGAAGGTCCCACGATGAATATGCTACTGGGTGATTTGAATTTGAATCCCTCACACCACCTTTTTGATAGATCGAACGACTGAGTCGGGTCTGTAGTCACGGGTGGAATGGAATGGTTATCCATGGTTTAAGGGAACCATTGATTTGGATTGACCCTTGAGTTCACGCATGAATTTTTCTCATGACGCTCTTTGTTATTCGAACGCGTAAATGCTCTATTGCAGTAGCGGCAAAGGTGTGGCATTATCCGATCAGAAGATTATGAAGATAACACGATTCCCATTTTGTGTCACAGCGATACTAATGAAAAAATGTAAGATTCTCTGCTTTTTATGTATTATTTTCTGACCAATTTCCCTAACCTATCACCGCCTCATACACCATTAACACCCTCTTCACTCGTGTGTAAGATATCTTTGTTCTCGCTAGATTTTTAGAATGTGTCTAACTTGGCACAGAGTTGATCGTATTTTTTCTGTAATTCAACCAATTCAATTTTCACCCGTGTGTGGTGAGATATCTTGGGTGTATTTTCTTTCCTGCCTTCCAGTACTTTTCGCTCACTTTGTCGCTGTTGTAGCAAGGATTGATATTGTTCTTTGTGTGCGGCAAGATTATTTTCAATCTCTTGAATCGCTTGATCTAAGACCGTACATCCTACTTGATGGTATGCTTCATTGACACGTTTCTGAGCTTCAGGACTTTGCATCTTAAGGTAACTTTTCATATTTTTTTCAATCTTTTGGAGATCGTTGCATTCTCGGCATTTTTTTTAAATATTACTTTAACACATTTTCCTGATACTTTACGCGAGCATGAACAGCATGCATTTTTTGTCGATATGACTTTAGAACCGCGAAAAGATCCTGAGTACTCGCCATCGTCCACACTCTGCGTGAGCAGGTAAGAAATGAGTGTGGA